AGCAAAGAGTTTAATCGAAAAGGTTTTTGCTGTCCCCAAAGCATCCACCCCTCTATGGAGAGTTAATCGACCCCTTGTACCCTGCAGATAGCTAAGATGAACTCCTCTCACTGGAAGAGGTTCTCGCTCGCTGTTTACTGTCTACCATTCATGTCGTTACCAAAAAAGGAAATTTTTTACGAATTGAAGAGTTGTGGGAAAGAGTTTATTATTTTCTTGTTTTTCTTAAAAATAAACTATTTTAAATATAATAAGAAAAAAACAAATTTTATTATAAACTTGATATTTTCTTATTCAAATAAACAAAAATATTTACTAGTTAAAGATAAATCTATTTATATAAAATTCTATAATAAAATTATTAAATAACTTGATATTTTTTTCACAAAAAAATTATTTAATCTAGTAACTAAAAACAAATTTACTAAAAATTAAAAATATTACTATTATTATCAAAATTCAAAAAATTTACAATAGTCAATTACTAGATAAGCATTTTATTAAATAATTTCTATACAACTAAAATATGCAATCAATATTTTATTTTTAATAGAAAGTATAATTAATTACTTTAAACTAAATTTAAAAAAGTAATTAAATCAAAACTAGATATTGAATATATAATCTTTAAAAAGATTTTATATTTTAAAGCAAATCTTAAATTATCAAATAATAAAATAGGTAAAATATAATAGCAGTCAAACTTTTAATTTCAAAACTTGCCAATTCAATCATATTTTAAGGTATAATATAAGAAATAAAGTTAATATAAATCTTATATATTATATGAACATATTTAATTTATTTTTTATATCTTTTTAAAAACTCTTGAATAATTCAAGTAACAGGTACTGCTATTAAATATTATATTAATATTTATTTAATATCACATCTATTTAATAATTCAAATCATATATGTAATTGTATTGTTGTTTTTATCATTTATAGTAATATGATTTTTAATTAATTAATTATATTTTTAATAGTATTATAGTTTTTGAAAAATGTCTGAATTAAATACAAATACATGTATAATCTAAACTATAAACTATTAAGAGTTTTATATTTATCTTTTAAATTGTAGAACATTTTAATTGATTAATTTAATTTATAGATTTTTAATTTTTTTAATTTATAAATTTTTAAAATTTTATAACTTTAAAAATTTAAATAAAGTAAATCTAAAAATAGATTAATAATAATAATAATAATAATATGTTTTTTTAAAAAAAATTTTTTTTAAAAGTTTTGCAATACACTATATATATATTTATAATTAATATTATTTATTATTATAATCATAAATATATTAATTAATTAATTTTTGATTTAAATAAATAATAATATTTTATAAGAATAAATAAATATTATTAAAATAAAGTATTAGAAAAATTAAATAAAAATTTTTTTATTGTATTCATTATTTTTTAAATATTAAATATTTAATTAAAAATTTGTAATTATGTAATTTAATTTCAAAATTTTCAAAAAATTTTTTTATTATAATTTAATTATTTTGTTTTAATAAATAATTTATTAAGAATTATAGATTTTAACAATATGTACAGTATATCTAATAATAATAAAAAAATTTTATTATTATAAATAAAAAAATTTAATATAATCAATATAATTAAAAAAAATTTTTTTTGTTACAATATACAATATTTCAAAACTTTAATTAAATTATATTAATTTATTATTATTAATATAGTACAATAATTTATAATACGTATACTGTCTATAATAAAATTTTGATATTTACAAATATTTATTTTATAAAAAAAAAAACAATACTGTAATGTATTTGTTTCTCATGTATGCGGTATGTATAAAAGTTTAAATTACAGTAATTCCAATGCGTGCCGTATATGGTGTTTAATACATTCCAAGATTGTTACCATTTCTCATGTATTCATAAATTTCAGCAAGATTTGCTGTTTTTATATGATTATTATTTTAATTCTCCATCGGTTTACATGCAATGCTTTTGGGTTGTCATTTAACGTGATATTTTGCCCCAACACGCCGTTAAAAATCATTGGAATATTTCCATTTTCAATGGAATCCTTTATCTAAACATGGAAATACGGGTCGCCTGAATGATGACTTTATCCAGATGAAAATGATTGAGCGCATATAAAACGTGATATTGAAGCAGAATGAGAACAGGTAGAATAAATATCGAAACAGGTATTCTATCCAGATCTCTTAATCTTATCTATTTTGTTTTACTTTATTTTTTTTTTTTGGTACAGACTAACGGGAAGGCTAAGCAACCAGAAGAATCCCGGGGACTTGCACGGTTTATCGCGAAGTTATCAAAGAAGGTCGTTAAAAGGTCGTTAAAATGGGAATTAATTGAAAATCGCATTTTATTTTGTTTTCCTAACTAGAAGAAATGCGAAACTCGAGGATTAAGTCGAAGATTGAAAAAAGAATTCGTTCAACAGTCAATAATGATAGATGTGCAAATACAGCTTAACCGCAATAGACATCTTGCTTTGAATCATTTTCGTCTCTTTGTTCTCATGCATACTTCCGGAGATCCAACTTTGACAAGGGGAAGAATCACAAAGAAATGTCATGCTAGCATGATGCAACCAAACACGATTAGCTGTATAAGATATCTCAGATATCTCATTGATCTAATTTCATGTGTAAATTAATCCGTCGTAAGAAACATAAATGTCAAATAAGATGGATTAACTTGATGTGTTTGTTATTTCGGAAATTTTTAGCAAAATATGAACCACTGAAACTAAAAAGTACTTCAGTACTATTAATGTATTGATGTTATTACATAATACTGCAATGTTTAAACGTACGAACATAATCATAAGTAATTTTGTGCAACCTTCGTACTGGTGTTTATATAATGTAAGACAGTCAATACGTTGATTGTATAGTATATTGTTGTTTTTTTTTGCATATGGCGTTTTACAATTTAGTAGTTCAAAGAAGTTCTTTTTCGAAAGTTTATTTCTATCTTCGGATACAGGATATTTATACATAAATATTCAACGGGACGACTGATTTTTCTTGTTTTTCAATAGAGAAATGACTAAAATTACCAGTGTCGAAGTTGGTCAAGCGACAGAAGGCGAGACCCGCGCTCGTCGTTCTGTACTCTCACCTAATGAGCTCCTCACCACGCCCATCGAAAGTGTTAAAACTGTGTATGACATATTAATTTACAGCTCAAAAACCTATGGAAAAAAGCCCGCTTTGGGTTTCAGGAAGACCGAATCTATAGTTGAAGAGGAAAAGGAAGTTACGAAGATAGTAAATGGAGAAACAATCAAAGAGAAAAAAACGTGGAAATATTTTCAATTATCAGGCTATTCGTATCTGAGCCATTTGGAAGTACTTGAACAGGCAACGGATATTGGTGCAGGGTTGATTCAGTTAGGATTGAATAAAGATTTGAAACTTTCAATCTACACTTTTACAAAGTATGAATAATTTACATTTTTTTTATCAACGCGAAAAATTCGTTTTATTAATAATCAATCTTTATATGTGTCATAGCGTCAATTGGTTTCTCGTAGCGCATGGTAAGGTATCTCTATGCATGCATTTTAAATTTCTTTGAAAACGCAATGAGTAACTTTCCGATAATACAGGTTGTTTCTCCCAAAGCATTACGTTGACAACCGCTTATGATACGCTGGGTGAAGAAAATATTCTTTACTCCATGAACGAGTCCGAAGCTTATGCAATCTTTACCCATACCACTCTACTGCCCACCCTCAAGAAAGTTGCCGATAGGCTTGTTTCTGTAAAGCATGTGATATATGACGGCGAACTTGAGGGAAATATCTTGGAAGAAATTAAATCAGTAAATCCAAATATAAACTATATAACTCTGGACGAGGTCAAAAAGTTGGGAAAAGACAATCCAGTAAAACCCAATCCCCCGGAACCTCAGGATATATGTTGTATCATGTATACTTCAGGAAGTACGGGAAATCCTAAGGGTGTCATGCTGACACATGCCAATATAATTGCTTCACGTAAATATCCGTGTTTTTTTTTCTTGTCTCACCAGAATAATTAATAGAAATAACTTGATTATGACTATATACTACCTTCGAATTATTTTAGTTGCGGGCACAAATAAAAAGTATGGATCTATTTTTACCCAAGAAGATACATACCTTGCCTACCTACCATTTGCCCACGTCCTTGAATTCGCTGCAGAACAAAGTTTCTTGTTCCATGGTATAACTATTGGATTTGGAACGGTGAAGACATTAACGGACGCGTCTGTACGCAACTGTTCTGGCGATATTCGAGAATTTAAACCGTCAATCTTTGGAGGAGTTCCTGCGGTATATGAAATGATTAAAAAAGGTTATTACACATGTTAACATTCCTATCCACATTTTTCATAAGAACATGGCCAAATTACATATTAATTCTATTCATGATCACCAGACGTTTTATCGAAGGTGAACGCCGCCAGTATGCCCATGCAACGAATGTTTTATGGTGCATTTAGAACGAAGCGATACCTTCGAGACAAAGGTTTACCTACAGGATTTCTGGACAGATTAGTATTTAGTAAAGTCCAACAACAATTTGGTGGTCGTATACGAGTAGCGTTTTCAGGTGGTGCCCCTATATTTAAAGAAACTCACGAATTCATCACGATAGTGCTAGCCCCACTGGTTCTTGGCTATGGAATGACCGAAAATACCGGGTAAAAAACTATATTGTATATTATGTGATGTAAAATAATTCGAACCATCACCCTATGAAACATATTATGTGATCATTTACTTGAACGTCTATAATTCATCATTGTAGTCCGGCAACGTTAATGACCCCTGATGAAACTACATGTGAAAACTGGGGGATAGCCGGCTCATTATACCCATGTGTCGAAATAAAACTCGTAGACGTTCCTGATGCTGGTTATTTCTCCACAAATAAACCACATTCTCAAGGCGAAGTATGGTTAAGGGGTCCGATAGTATCAAAAGGCTACTTCAAAAATCCAAAATTGACTGAAGAAACGTTCACAAAAGATGGATGGTTACAGACAGGAGATATTGGCGAATTTACTGAAGCCGGCTCGTTGAAGATTATAGACCGTAAAAAGAATTTGGTGAAATTGGCACATGGTGAATATATTGCGTTAGAAAAATTGGAATCAGTGTATAGATCAACATTGCATGTTGCGAATATTTGTGTTTTTGCGGATTCCTTGCAAAGAAAACCGGTAGCCGTTATCATACCAATAGAAGCAAGAGTTAATGAATTAGCCAAGGAGAATGGTGTGGAAGGAAAGTCATTTGAAGAATTGTGTGACGATAAAAAAATCGTTAAGGCAGTCCTTAAGGAATGTCACGAGCAAGCGAAACGAGCTGACCTTAAACCGGCGGAATACTTGGGCACAATTGTCTTGGTGAGCGACGAATGGACTCCACAGAACGTAAGTAGATTTTGGATTTTATGAGGAAGTGATTATTTAAGTTTGACCATTAAATATTTGATATATAACCATAGGGACTTCTAACTGCGGCAAATAAACTGAAACGGGCTGGACTAGAGAAAAAGTATAAAGATGCGATTGATCGTATGTATGCTGGTAATCGAGAGACTTAATTTGTATAGCACGTAGCGCATATTTCCATTATATATTTTGTTGAGTTTAAATAAAAAATATATATATACTTGCAATTTTTAATCTACCAATCGAAGAGATATTACAATTTCACCAATTATTTAGTATTTATTATCAACAAGGCATTCTTGAGAGGTTATTTTTCGTTCATGAGAAATGTTCTTACTAGAATTTTAAAAGAATTCTGAATAGAAATATTTTCTTTACTAGCTTCTGAACTAGTAATAATACCAATGTATTTATTTACCTTTCGCGAAATAACCGTTGATCAAATAAAATACCGTGCGTGAATCATTTTTCAATCAAAATTTCATTAAGATAAATAACATCCAACGATTCTATGTAATTATCAACATTAATAATAATAATAGTCATATTCAAGGCTTTGTATAAGTTTTATCTTTGGCATTTTTTAATTTATGTTTGTTTATCGTTAATCAAAATTAATTAAAAATTATAATAATATTATCGTTAGAAATATATTATTCATTGTTAAGAAAAACGGTTGCATGTCTGGATATATTCAAACGTGTAACCGGTTACATTCAAATCCTCGATATGGAAAATATTCGGTCAACTCTTCCTGAACTATTACTACTCTTTGTTTACAAAGGCACTTCTTGTTTCACATAGGAATGCCAATTCCGATTCATTAGTCCCACTATAAGAAATTCAATTTATATAGTTTATTATAGGATTGTCTTCTTTGTGTCACGATTCTTTAGATGCACAGTAGTTTCAACGATTATGTATATTGATAACGTATGTAGTAGGAAAAGTATATATAGGCACAGAAGATGAGTGGAAATTTGATTTGGAATCTTTTTATTTATTTATTTATTTATTTTTTTTATCCAAGTTTTTTCACCTGCGTTAAACGATTGATATGACGACACTCGAGAATGACATTCGTGTGGTAGTTTGTATTGGTGAGAGATATTGATTGTGATGTTTTAGTGTTTTAAATTTAAATTACTTACGATTCTCTGTAACAGACTTTGGAACTACTTATTCGGTATGTTTATCTTATAGAGAAATTGAATCAACGATTTTTCCGGATCTCGGTTTTACTAATGCGGATCATGCGCGTCGACATACTTTTTCTTTTTTGGTAATAACGATAAACAGGGCTTCGCCTATGCTAACGTATCTAATCCTGAAATATGCACAAATGACTCTTGGCCTGGAAAATTTGGTGAATATAAAACCAGTACGGCACTTCAATATGATACATTCTATCGTAAGGTTGAGGCATGGGGATATCCAGCGTTGGCAAAACGACCTAATCGCTCTAGCGAGATTGTCACTCCATCCATGAATCCAACCGTGACTAATAATTTCAATACTCCGATGACCGTCCCGAAACCTGTGGAATTATTTAAGTTACATTTGGGAGACATGGCAAAAGGTGAAAAGCCGATATTGCCAAAAGAAATAGGCTATAAGAGAGCTATTACAGATTATTTAAGAGAGATGGGTATGTTTTCATTTTACATTTTTCTCGATACATGATTTCTTTTAGTTGTTTCAAAATTCTGACTTCTTTTTTTTAAAAAAAAAATAAAATAAAATAAAGGAGGTGTATGTATAGTCCGTCTTTTGGAAGAAGCAACAAAATACTATTTCTTTGTGCCCTGATAAAGTTGTTTTTTTTTTCAGCTTATTAAAGAAACGATCCTTTCGATATGGCCTGGAATTGATTTCCTGAAAAATGTTCTGTTGGTGCTTACCGTGCCCGCCGAATTTAGTAATCAGGCAAAAGAAATCATGAAACAATGCGTTAACGATGCCGGATTAAGTACCAGGAAACTGGAGTTTACTACAGAACGTGCGTCGACCTTTACATATTTTTTTAAATAGAATACTGTATGATCGTCACCGGTTATTTTTACACTCCATCTTTTATTTTATTAGCGGAAGCCGCTGCTATTTATTGTATGAAGTACTTTAAAGAACAATTCACTAACGCAGTTGGATGTATGTATCAAGAAAAATATTTTTTTTTCCTAAATTTATTTAATACGCGTTCTCGAACACACATACACATACAAACTAATTAACAGCTTCATTCCTAACCGTCGATATTGGTGGAGGAACTGTTGACTTGACTAAACGCAAAATACGCGACAACCATACTCTTGACGAGATCAGCGAAAGCACCGGTGACTTCTGTGGTGGTTCGTATGTAGACAAGGAATTTCTAAAATTCATTGAGGAAAAAATCGGTGAAATAGCGATGAAACAACTCAGACAGAACAGTTATGGTCAACTTCAGTACCTTGTCCAAGAATTCTGTAGACGTATTAAACTTCCATTCACCGGTAACCCAGATGAATTCAAAGAATATGAGCTAGATATTGAAGAGGTTTGTCCTGTACTGAAGCAATACGTTCATGGCCTGGAAAGAACAATATTAGAATATGATGAATGGATTATTTCCATCAGTTATGAAAACGTGAAAGCAATGTTTGATCCAGTAGTTGAGAAAATTTTAAAATTGATTGAAAACCAGATATCTAAGGAAGGAGAATTTATTTCATCAATCTTCTTGGTGGGTGGGTTCAGCGAATCAATATATTTACAGACAAGAATTAAGGAAGAATTCTCTTCTTTAGTTTTAAACATTTCTGTACCGCCGCAACCGATAGCTGCCGTGGTCAGAGGAGGGGTAGATTATGGATTGAATTTCGGCATAATTCGAAGCAGGGTATTAAAATTTACTTATGGTGTAATGGTCAATCCGGTATTTGATGACTTCAAAGATCCCATTGAAAGGAAAAAAGCAGATGGAAGAATTTATAAATTCTTTAGACTTGCTGAAAGGGGAACACAAGTTAAGGTCAATCAAGAATTTTCCAGTTACTTTATACCTTCCGCGGAAAGGGATACCCGTATAAGATTCCCGGTTTACATTACCACAGCTCAAAACGCTACCTATGTCGACGAATCTGGGATGCGACTGTTAGGTAATTTGACAATCGATTTGCCCGAACCCGAATTGGGATTTAAGAGACGAATTTTCTTTTCTTTGACTTTTGGGCAAGCGGAAATTAGAGCAAACGCAAAGAATGTTAAAACTGGTAGAAGTTACGGAACTACATTTGAATTAAATTTTTTGGAAGAATAATCTCTTCACCAGAGCCTAGTATAAGGATATTGTTTATATTATTACATGTAATATACTGTATATTTGGCATTTTCCGAATCATCTCTAAGGACAGATCGATTGAATTCATTTTGGTATGTCCGAAATACGTTTGCGAATTTTGTTATTAACACAAAGTTTTACGAAAAGAACGAAATTATATTTTCAAACATTTGGTCAACTGTAGAGAAACTAAATCTGATGTTACAAGCAAACAATTTTTTACTCTGAAGTAGATCCCTTACTCAAACATGATTTTGCTTTTCCGTTGTCTTTTATTTGCAATGACCCAAACTAGCATTATAAAGCTAATAATTGTTTGGATTGCATAATTGTTTAAATAAAGAATAATTTACTGTTTTTTTTTTCTAACAATAGAATGTGAAATTGAAACCCTCAAATAATAAATACAACATGAGATGTCAAAGCATCATATACCTAATTTATAAACCGTAAGGTTATTAGACGTTAGAATAACAATAGCAATGGATTTTAATCCATAAGATATAAAGAAAAAAAAAGTAATCAACATCAGTAACCAAAATTAGTACTAGGATAATTACAAATTAAGGTGATTTCATAAAGGATAATATATTCTCAATCTTGCTACTTATATTGTTTTTATTTGATTATTTTCAGTATTGTGATAATAATATATACAGTATAGTGCAATAAATTTTGGAATACTATTTATATAATATAAACACATATAATCTTTTCAAAACAAAAGCAATTCACATGAAATTTTAAATATGTAAACAACATATTCCAAACAATATATATTGTCATGGATAAAAAGTAGGCACAGTAACATGACATGCCATCATGTCATATAATTAGTATATTATGAGATCAATGGTGGAAAAAGTTAGAGGTGGATAAATTAAGGTGTAAAAAAGTTTATTGATGGAAATTTCTAGAGTATTATAGAATAGTGATCAGACATAAACATGTAAATAACAGGTGCATATATAAATACATGCATCATTCAGTAGCATGTAAAGAGGAGTTTAGTGAAGAGTCAGAATGCATTAAATAATAAACAATAAAGTAACTTTTAACAAATAAACTCTTACCTTGTGTTTGGTATGCCAAAGAAAACTTGTAACTTGGGTCATGCAACTACAAGAGAGAACTGAGGATTGCCTAGGAGAATTGGCATTAGAAAGGTTCTAGGCTGGTTAGTAGAGAAGTTAAAGTGAAAAAACTGGTCAAATCAGAAATATATTTCAAAAGTTAAAAACTTACCTTATTGTGAAATGAAGTAACGATAAGTAGTGTAGGCTAGACAAATAGTCTATGACAGTATAATTACTTAAAATTATTTAATTATTTTATTTTGTTACAAACTTGTTCTTACAATATTACTTTCTAAAAAAAATATTCAACAACAAATTATATTATATTTGTAGAATAATAAAACTACTTCTGCATATGAAAAATATTTCAAAACTGGTATAAACATATTAACTATTTATTATAATTTCAAAAAATTGAATTCAAAAGACAATAATTAAAAAAAATCTAGTAGTGATTATTTTAAAAAGATTATAACACATAAATCAAAAGTAATTAACGAATATTTATGTTATAATCCAAAACTTTTCTCACAAATATTGACAATTAAATTATAAAATATTAATACCAAAGTATCATATTCAACAATTTTAAGATATTTGGTTAATATGGATTGTAAAAATAATTTACATTTAGAAACATCTATACTTATTATTGCTTATAAAGAAGTTTATATTATTTGGACAAAAAATATCTTGATAATAATTGAAAAAAAACATTATTTTTTAATAAAATAACATTTTAATTATTTAGAAATATAATTACTCAATGGTATAAAGGTATAAGACCAGTTAAAAGAATATCTAAAAATCCTACTAAAATTCTTGTATAGGGAGGATTCTATACAAAAAAAAAACTTTTCTTTTTGTTTTAAAGAAATTATGGATACAAAATTTTATATCAATATTTTGCAAAATCATAAACAAGAAATTAATAGACTACTTGGAAACAATTGACATTTTCAACAAGATAATAATTATAAGCATACAAGTAAAGTTGCTAAAGCATTTTAAATAAAAATTTTTCTGAAATTATTAATTGGTTTTCTAATAGTTTAGATTTAAATTCCATTAAAAACTTTTAAGCTATTATTAAAAAAAATATAGAAATAAGATTATCAAAAAAATATTTTAAAATTAAAACAATTTATAATAAAAGAATTAGATAAAAATTCAAATAAAATTTTAAATAATTTTCTTGGCCAAATCTAACGCCTCACCAAAAGCCCTATCATTAAATAAATTTAACACTACTGTTCTACGAATTTCATTATCAGCTAGCGACTGACTCGCCATATCACTCCCACAGTAGAATCTTTTAATTAACTGTTTTAACTTATCATCCCTAGAAATAAATTGGCTAAGATTAAATAATAGATTTACTTCTTAAATATTTATTGGTAGTTGTAATTTATCTGTTTAAGAAATTGTTGATAAGACTTATTAAAGATTCAAAGAAAGTAAAAAAAAAAATTTATCTTTAAAATAATTTATTAGTATTTATGTTATATTTGTTAATTATAGAAGTTTATATATTTAATGATGTAAGGAAGTTTTAAATTGAGTAAGAATTGTATAGCAGTGAACTTTTTTGTTTAAAAAAATAAGATAAAAGATACTTTAAATAATATTTGATTCTAAGATTGCATACTACTATCCTATCCAGAAACACATCAAAAAAATCAATCACCACTTTTAATATCCTAGACTTCAAACAACCTTTCAATCCAATTTTCAAAACCTTCCTTATATCTTCAAATTCATTAAATCAGTATCAATATCTATCAATACTTCAGAATCAGCCATCTACAATTTTCATCTTAAAATTATCTTTCATAGTCTTCCTACCAAATCTCACCTTCATACTATCAAAACCCAGCCTTTATCTAAATAATTTTTGTTTATGCTGCAACAGCTCAGAAGAAACCATTGATCATATTTGGAACTGTTCCATTAACAACAACATTTTAAAAACAATTATTCTCTCAACACAACAAATTATTAATAAAACAATTAACAACTTTCCTGAATATAACCTACAATACTTTAACAACATTTAAAACATAACACAAATTGCTACTGGTTCAATATCCTTCTCAGCCCTAATTCCAAACTAAAAACCTACTCCAATCTTCAAACATATACAAATCACTAACAAACTTCTTGAACTAATATATAACAACATATGAAAACCCAGAAATGATGACACGATCTTTCAGAAAAAAATTCTTGATATTACGACACAACAAAAAAGGAACAAAAACAATATCAAAAACAAGAACAATCAAACCTGACTCAATAAAAAAAACTCAACTACTAACACAACACCAATAAACTGCACCAACAACAACCATACCCTTCACTCTAATATTCTGTTTCCAAATATCTTTCTTAATTGTATCTCACTAATAGAAAACTTATTTTTATCAGATCTAGATAAAAAACGAAATTATTAGGAAGGTGTTAACCCTAATTTAGTAAATAGTTACTTCTAAAATTTCTCCAATTATGGTTTTTATAGAATATATTTACTTATTATATCACCATTGTTGTAAATTTTATACTTAGTCATCTTTGTAAAAATTAAATCAAAAATTAATAAAGATCACAATTTGAGAAGTGCCTCGCAAAAAAAAAAAGACTGTATACTACTAGTTTTATGTCATATACAGTAGTATCCAATAGAAAATACTACTCAAATTTAAGATTTAGCTAATTGAGATCAAGTGATAGAGGGATTTGAAAGAAGAAGATTGAAGTAAAATTGTGAAAATTTGGATAAAATTATAAAAATCTTTTGATCTCTTTTATTTTGAAATCCAGATTTTTAAGATTACTTCTTTTTCTAATTGAAAAGTAATAAGAGAAGTTTCTTGAAAGGTTCTTGAAATCATTAAATCAAGAAGATAAAATAGAGAAATAGGTTTTTTAAAATAGAAAGAATTTGAAGTAAGAATATAGGAATCTGACTATATCTACTGTAATGTTTTTGTTAATAATAGAAATTATGAATAGGATTTTTGCTTTGATTTAAAAAAAAATTTTCTTTGAAGTTAAAGAAAAATTTGAAAGAAGCTCTATAAACATTTCTATGCACTTTTGTTAAACAGAGAAGTAATCTAACTTTTCATTATTTTTGAGGCAGTAGAAAAGGTTATAACTGTATTTAGGACTTCAAAAAGTATTAAATTGATATCAAACTGATATTAAAATAGTATCAATATATAATAAATTTAATATATCGGTTGTGATCTACTTATATAATTTCATAATAAATTTAAGTATCAAACTGATATCAAAGTGATATTGAAAAAATATCATTAAAAGCTTTAGTTATATTTTATGAGCTAAAAAAACAAGTTGGATTTTAGATAACTTATTTTAATATATTGTAAGTAAGCAATGAAAATGTTTACATTTAAGAAAAGTTTAATTTTGTATTTGATCTCTCAATTAAGTTAAAAAAAGTTGTTTTTTTTTATAATTGAACTGGAAATGAAATTCTAAAGCTTTATACTTTATTTGATAAGTGTTTTAAGATTTTCAATTTTGTTAAAAATAAAGAAGCTTCTGTCTTTGGTTTTTATCTTGATAAAAATTTTTAAACAAGATTTTTGTCTAATGGGTTCTTTAAGAGTATTAATTACAAAGGCCTATTATATTATTGTGGACACTTTTATTTTTTAAATAATAAAAAATTTTAAAAAATTTAATAATATATTTATATAATATTAAGATATAATCCATTTAAATTTCATGCAATTTTATTTATTTGTTCAAATTTTATAAAAAAAAACTCTAATCTAACTTTTTTCTATCAAACCGAAATTAGTTTTTTTTTTTTGCTTTTAGTATTTTATAGATTCTCCTTTAACTGCAATATAGGTGATAACCCAATTTGGCATG